GCCTTTACAGATAACAAAAAAAGCAAACTTAAGTTTTGTGGGCTTTGTGGTACTTGATTTATAAGACATACTTTATATAAAGGCCAAAATTTCAAAAAATGTTTTGTATATAGCCGGTTTTGCTCAAAAACGTACGAATAAAATGTGAAAAAAACCTTTATTATTCAAAAATATTAACAAAATAAATTTAGTGAAAACATAAAAAAACAGAACAAATTTTAGTATCGACATATCGAAGCCACGTGCTCATCATTATTATTTATTGGATATAGCCGGGTTTGCTATAAAAACGTGGATTTGGCCGGTTTTGCTCCTAAAGCGACCTTTTTAATGTGATTTTAACATGGATATAGTCTGATTTAAACCGAATTATCTTGGTTCTCGATAGAAATGCGAAATAAAAAAAAACAAAAATTGAATAAAATGGATTTAGCCGGTTTTGCACGGATGCTCCTCAATTATGGGTTAAAAATAAATAAAATTAAAAGAAAATTAAAAATAAAAATGATGTCGGCGATGTTTATATAAGTTTGATTTACTTAGTATAGTTTTGTAAATAAATAAAGTTTATATATACTTTTATTTAAATTAAAACAGAAAATTATACCTGGGATTTAATATTTTAAGTTTATGTTTTTATAAAAATAGAACAATCTGTTCCTTTATAAATAGCAAGTACGTACTTTATAACAAGGTACCGTAAACACGGGTGGGTTTAGCTCACTTTCAGACTTTAGCTTAAAAGTTTTGTGGTTTAACAATCATAAATATTGTATACCAAAATTTGAGTTGCTCTTTCGTAATAACTATAGTTATAAAATATATGTTATAATATTACGTAGGGCTGAGTTTCAAAAATAAAAATTCAAAACTGGGTGTGCAAAGTTACCCCCTGGTTGCAGGTAACTTTGTCTCACAGTGTATTTTTCGTATAAAATTAACTCAATATTTTATTTTATTTTTATTAGACACATGTTAGCAGCGACATATAGCGATTGAAAGGGGATTACCGATAAAAAAATAAAAAATCGACCTGTAGTTAACCAAGGATCATCATTCCAAAGGATTGCGCCTAATATACAGTAGAAACCACCAATATATGAACGTGACTCATCGGATGCCGAACATATCTCAGACATGCTAGCAGTAATGTTTTACTTGTCTTGTACATTCGATGCAGCGGTAAATGTACTCACACGTAGGTTTTTAAGCATCCGGTCTAAAATGCGCCATCTGTGATGTAAAACTGCCCAGGTGTTCGACAAAGATGGACATATGACGCGTGTCCTAGCTTGTTACTTATATTCAGTAGAGTTCGTGTTTTAGGCATTTATTTTATTTTATTACATAGTAAGGCAACCAACTTTACCGTCGGCCATTTGTTTTTATATGTCATATGATCTTTGTTTTTGCATATCGTGTTTCTACTGTGTGTTTACGGATTAATAATCGTTTTAAACGTTGTAGTGGCAGTGGTTTATATTATGTAACACAGGTAGATGTCGTATAAAAATCCTTACCTAGAAATTCTAGGCTAGAATACAAAAATATTTTTATTATATAAATTTTGTACTAGTATTAGTTTAATACATTCTGAAGAAGCTATTGTGTAGCGAAACAATTGTCAATATTTAATAAATTTCGTGAAACTAACGCAAGTTGTTTTTATATCCACACAATTTAAATATCTTTCACTTTGTACCTGACCTGCGTAAACATTTTTGTTTTTTGTCACCAATTCTGAAATATTTGCGTTTACAGTTAAAAGAATAGTATATTCTGTAACAAGTTTGACGGTTTCACGAGAGGGGAAACGTGTTTCAGACTATACTTTTTCTACGTTTCCAAAAAATACCATAGACAAAGAATTTAATTGGAAGAAAGTGAGGTTGGATCGGTCTAAAAATTTGTTATTAAAATCAGAGATGTCGCCACGAGTGTACGTTCTGTCATCAGTTGATAAAATATTTCATTAAAGTTAAAAGAAAAGTTTATATATTAATTAGTTTCTAAGAAAATTACATTTTATTTAATTATCGTAGATGTTAATTATGTTAGATGTTAATTATTTAACTTTAAAAGCAAATATATCATAAGTATGGCAACCTGGACCGTGACCTTCGATAGATTGCTTCGTACGAATGTGTCGGATGAGTCACGTTCATATATTCGTGGTTTCTACTTTAGAAATTGTACGTGTATTTGAGTTCTGCACTGATGCAATATAAACAATTTTAAAATGTAATAAATCAATTTATTTCTTTAAAACATTGATTTTGCTATAATATAAACTTAATAGAATCGCTCAATTGACAGGTTTAGACCAAAAAATTATAAATGTTAATTTTATCGAGCGCGAAAAGATTTTTCATAAAAAGGTTAGTCACCTGCGGGGTGTAAAGCCACCCGTGTTTACGGTATACCTTTTTTATGTAAATACATTTAATAATAAAGCCTAGTTTAAAGCCGATTGTTGTCTAATTAACAAACATTACATATCTAGTACCTTATAGTAAATTGAAGTAGTTATTTCAGTGAGATTTTTTCTCAATAAAAATTGGGACAACAATTTCTTTCCCCAATGCCGGCCTAAAAATTTAATTTTTGAGGGTGCTGAATATCTTCTCTACAACAATGTGAGGATCTTCATTACTCCAGAACCTAGAATTTTGCTAATTGATCTCTCCATTTAGGGAAAACATGCATTCGTCGCTGTAACAAATATGTTTAATGAGTGTAGGATCTTAATTTATTCTCGCCGTCATAATCTCAAAAAACTCGTAGTCTTCATATTATTAGGGTAAAATTATTAAAATTTTAATACTCTCCGAACAGAATTTTTCGAAAGGCCTGTTTTTCTAGATGCATGCCAAAGGGACATAAAAGGGGAAATTGCAAATTGTTCGGGTACCTAAACTGTTTCAATTTAGTTTTCATACATTATTAATTTTTTTCGTGGAATTACGGACCGTGCCATATATGGCACGATAGGCAAATAAGGTATGTGGAAATATGGTATAAACATAATTGATGCAAATCATTTTATTCTCAAAAATACATATGTCAAGAACAAATAAACAATTTATTGTTGGGGAAATTCTGCGAAACAAGAAATATATAATCTCACATAGCATTTGTTGCATTGCGTTCGAACTGCACTTGCTTGAGCAGTATGGGCGACACCCGCACACCGTTTCTCCTGTGGTACATAGTACATTATGTGAATCACATGATTGAAATGATATTTTATGTTCTCATAAACTCTACTTTGTTTGGATGGAGCTAAGGGACGTGAGCATACAAAATGCATGGATACTGGCAAAAAGCACTGGACGTAAAATCTCCCAACTTCAGTTCCGCAGAAAAATAGCTCAATGTTATTTGATCAAATATCAGATGCCTTGGGTGGCATCTGAGTGCTTTTTGCCAGTATCCATGCATTTTGTATGCTCACGTCTACTAGCCATGTAAAGATAGACCACTACCATTTCTTTCCCCTAACACCTATTCTTTAAACGTTTACGTTTGCGTCCATCTGATCTATGCATACCATAAAATTATTATATTTGGTGATACAGTCTGGTCTTGGAATGCCAACTCGTTTCTTTTCCGCCGAAGAATATCTTTGGGCAGTTGATACTGGATTCCATGAACGTTTGATGCCACTGTTATCTTTCTATCTGGTTAATAAAATAAAATCCTTTTTTGCCAAAGCATACTCAAAAGATCCACGATTGGTTGTTTTTTCCTTTATTTGTTTGAATGAACGAATTGGACAGTTTTTCGGGACACGATTTTCTCTTATGGTAGCACCATAATTTCTTGTTTTTATGTACACTAAGAGATTTATTGAAGTAAATAAGTTGTCAACGTAAAATCGAAACGAAAGAGCCGTCAGTTGAGGGCCCATATCATTGATTAGTTGAATCAATCGTGCCGTAGCTTTCCCATATTCCTTTTGGTCGTCTTCATTAAATATGGCCGTTGCACCCTGATAAACATAAAAATTGATCAAATATCCATTTTTAGTGTTTATAAAATATGTGTGAACAGATAAACAGACCTTATTAGCCTAGCGTGCCTTATATGGCACGCCGTTATAGACCATGTCGTGGACAGGTAATAAACACATCAGGTAAACTGGTACTTTTGTTTTCACATTTGTTGTAAATGTTATTTAGTAAACCCAGTAGGTGGGTCTAAATATAAAGACAATTTTAACGAAATTTGTACTAACCTTTGCTTTGATGCCATTTTCAAACCGCAGCTTTTCTGCAACTAAACATGACCTCAACACCAACACTGTTTAAAACATTTAACAGACCAATATAGAGCATAAATCAAATAGCCAACCATTGAAGCTACTCATAAACGCAAAAAGCATAACGCTTGGCCATCGTTTTGTATAAATACAAATTTTTGAAATTAGGCTTATTTGTCGTACCTTTTTTTGTTTGTTTCCAAACTTTTAAAAATGAATACAACATTTTAAAAAATGTTTACCTCTATTTTCTGTCAGTATACGAGGTTGATCTTTTTTTTATTTTTAACCGATCCAGTTTCTCTGAACTTTTTTACAATATTCTGAACATAAGTACACAAGTTTTTATCTGAATGTCTCATTCGGAACTCCGCAGCCGTTCTGTAGGCACTGATTTTGAGAATCATAAAATTAAGCACAAATTAAATAATTTTTCCATATTTGATGGTAAGTGTCCTTACATAAAACCTCTTTTAAGCGGTCAAAATATACGGCAAATCTTTTAAGCGTCCAGCGAGTTTATTAACATAATTATATATAAAAATGCAATTTTTTCACAAAGCTCAAAAACATCTTTTTAATTTTGACGACTCGTCATGACAATATCATTAACGATAAATGTGGGTAATTAAACTTTACTTTCGCAGCATGGTTAGCTATAAAAAAAGAAACAAACTATAAATTTGCCATATTAAATACAATGTATATATTTAAAGCAATTTTTTTGATTTTTCTTCAGATGGAGATAATTGTGAATATTGCACTAAAATTTTGGAAGAACTTGAAAATATTGATGATGACTGTGAACGACACGGCATTAAATTCGTAAAAACAGAAGATTTTAGGATAGCAGAACAATATGGTGCCACAGATTTTCCAGTCCTAATGTATTTTGAAATGGGAAACGGTGGAGTATTTGAAGGAGAGTTGGAAGAAGAAGAAGAAGTTCTTCAATGGCTAATTCAACAACGCACAGAAGATAGAATTGAATTAATTACAAGAGTAATGCTTGAAAATCTGGTAGAAGATAGCCAATATTTAGCAGTTTATTTCTACAAACAAAATTGTCAAATTTGCGATCAAATTTTAGAAGAATTAGAAAAAATCGATGATGAATGTGATGTTTATGGTATACATTTAGTAAGAATTCAAGATCCACAGTTGGCTAAAAGATATAGCATCAAGACTTTCCCAGCTTTGGTGTACTTTAGAAATGGAAACCCTTTACTTTTTGAAGGAGATCTTCAAAATGAACAATCTGTTTTGGAATGGCTCACAGATGATGATAACCGAGAGTTAGCTGATGAAATTGAATCAGTAAATGATAGGATGCTTGAAAGGCTACTTAATGAGTCTCCATTTTTGGCTGTCTTCTATTGTAAGTTAGTTTACACAATATAATTATCATCATTAATAATAAAAGTATTATTATCATAATTTTTATTATTGTAGATGATGAAGATTGTCCAGAATGTGAAGAAATTTTAGAAAATCTTGAGGAAATTGATGGGGAAGCAGATTTATTTGGAATAGACTTTGTAAAAATATGCAGTGCCGAAGCAGCAGCTGAACAAGGTTTACACAATCTTCCCGCATTAATGTACTTCAGAAAAAAGACTGCAATGGTTTACGAAGGTGATTTAACACAAGCAGATAAGGTTTTAGATTGGTTAACAAGCCAGGATGTGTTCGAAATTAAAAATGAAATTGAGGAGGTAAACAAGAAGATGTTGGAAAAGTTGCTAGAAGAAAATGAATTTGTAACGGTTTTTTTTTGTATGTATATTCAATTTAAATTTAAATATATGTATTAATATACAAAAACTTTTGAAATTTTAGATGAACTAAACTCTGAGGAAAGCAGGATTGTAATAGAAAAATTGGAAAATATAGATAGTGAGACCGACAACTTTGACATAACTTTTGTTAAAATGGCAGACCTAAGATATGCCCGAAAATGGGGAGTCACTCATTTTCCTGCCATCGTTTACTTTCGGCGACGTTTTCCAAGCATTTACCGTGGTGATTTGCGCTCGGAAGTAGATGTTTTGGAATGGTTAAGAAAAAATAGATTTCGACAACCGGAGTTAAATATTTTTATGTACGCATTGTTGGCGATTGGAACCGCTTTTATAATATACACTGGATTTTTACTGCAATGCTTTAAAACGCAACCTCAAGCAATTGTAGCACACCAAAAGCAAACTTAAGTACATTCTAATCATTTATCAATGAATAAATAAAGAATTAATAAATCTAAATGTATGTTTGCATTGCAATATTTAAGTAACAAGCATCATTAATTTTTATCTTTTAATATTTTATGTTGATTTTTCACATTGTTTTATATGTATTTTAAGTTAATTATATAGGTACTCATGAAAACTAGGATGTGCCAATAAATTCTGACGAATTATGTTTATTATACCCTTACGCATACCTTATCGTAAAATAAATTTAGGAACTTGTGAAGCAGTATAGACAATCAATAAAAAGTAAATGGAAATAAGGTGTAATTAAAAGGAGGTTAATTTATACTTTTCAGAACTTATTGGATTCATCTGTTGTTTGTCTGTCGTTTTAAATCCTGGACCAAGTAAATGTTATCAAAATATTGTTCAATAAATAAATAATATTGTACAGTCATTCCTGCTTAAAACAGGAAAATATCTATTATTCCTTATAAATGGATATACATTAATGAATAAGATAAAAAATAATTACAAAAATTGTAGATTAAAACCTAAAGATTGTAAATATTACCTACTTATTTAATAAAGATATAAAATCTTCTATATTGTGTTTGTTGTAAGTAATTTTAAATTAACGCCGACTAAATTCTTACCTTTATCACTATATATATTAAGTGGTTTATTTATTTTAGCAACAAATTTAGAGTTGCTAAATGTGATATACAGATAAGTAGCAAATCAAACAAATAGGCATTACCAAAAGCTTTTGTAATCTTGCACTTTTGCACCTTTTATTCTTTACTGTAAAGGTTCCAGCATAGTTTTATGTCTAATTCGAATTGTGAAAGTACGTAAGGGCAACTTTTAAGCTTGTTATGGAGCGACTATTTTGGTTATATTTTTAAAAGCTTTTTTTTAAAATTGTAAAACGCATGCAAATATAATAATATACATTATTTCCCCAACAGAGTGAAAATAATTTGACAGAACATTGTGAGACTTTAAGATTATCAAAAAATATATCACAAGTAATATCGATTTAAGCTTTTACACATGAAATGGGCAAAAATGGTATATTTTGACGGCTAGAAGAACGAATATTAGGCATTTTCACATATGGATAGGCACTACCACTCTAGTAGGAAATCCATGCTGCGTATGCAGATGTATTCTTGAATCTTTTTTCGCGTAAATACTATGTAATACTATGGTTAAATAAGTCATGACGTCACAGTTAATTCATATAACCATGGTTAGATTTCTAACATTTTACATTTGTTTACTTGTTCATAACCTATAATTTTTGAAATGTGTTTTTACCTATTTATATTTAATTTCTATGCTTTTACCGGTGTAAATAAATTTCTTTGCCTCTTCTTATACCTAAAGGTATAAGAAGAGGCAAAGAAATTTATTTACTATATTTACTATAGTATATTCTTTTTCTATAGGTATTAGTTTTTTCAATACACGTTATCCAATTCTCCTACATGTTTAATACAAAATAAGCAAGAATATAAAACAAACCTGCATATAATTCCTCCACTTGTGGAGATTCCACAATATGGAGCACCCTATCATTTATTTTTACTGACAACACCCCGTTTACCAATTCAATTTTAAATGGAAACAACTTTTTGACAGATCGAAACAGAGAAAAATATATATTAAAAAGAGAAAGACTATTAACCACGTTGAATAACTAGCTCAGCGATATAGTTTTATGGTCTGGTATTTGTGACGTCATAGTTAGGATTTTTGAACGCACTCTAAACGCAAAAATGCCTTAACTATTAACCAAGGTTAAGTTTAATTACCATAGTATTTCATGGTATTTCTCTCTCTCTCTTTATTTTTCTCCACTACCTCCGGAGTACTGTAACGTTTCTTTCTAATGACGCACTTACCTATTGGTTTGTCTAATACAAAACAAGTCTCGGGCGCAAGCTCCTTTTTTATTGTGAAGCGCCACACCTGGGTAGCTTTTATACAGTGGAGAAAGTAAGTAGTTCAGTTATTAATGAAACTCTGGATTAAACTCAATACGTATATTAACAAAAGTATAAAATATCCTATTCAGAATAACCATAAACACCCTGTATGTACAACATAAAACAACTAATAAACACACGCAAACCAATGGTGCGAAGAAAGCGTGAAGGCGAGCAGAGAGGGGAAAACGGCCAGGGGGAGGGTATAAATGTAAAAAGCCGAAAGTGGTCGGCGGCGAGGAAATGCAAGCAATTATTAATAGCGAAATAGGGGTGAATGAAAATGACAGCGTGCAAATGAGTACAATGTAGGCGGCAGATCACCGGCTACGCAACTAGCTACGATTCGTAGACGTTCACCGAACACGTATAGCGTCGGGGCAAAACTGCGGTAGCAGTTGCTTATTTACAAGTCTACACTATTTAATACGATTAGTTTAAAGTAAGGCCAAGCCAAGCAAAGAGTAAATTCATAAACAAAAGCAATAGTTTAACTTGTACTTACAAATCGGTACGGCTGTGTCAATTTCTGGTGTGCACCGGTCACGGCCCGTGACTCACTGGTCAAACACAAGATGATCTCTCTCTCCCCGCATTCCACTTGCCGGCCTCGACACAGCGCGAGGGCGCACGCGCCTCTGCCGTCTAGTTTATTCCGTACGGCGACAGCGTATGAAATCATTCATAGTTAAATAGATGTTTACGGCCTCCTAGACCCAATAAACTATTACTACTGTTTAATATTCTCTAAATTATCTGAAATAGCACAAAACTCGAATCGAAGTTCTACGACCCCAAATAACGATTTTACAGAAATTAAGTAACTTCGTTACAGTACCATAAGCCTCTCCCTCAGTAATGGAATTGGTCTGAGCCGTTGTGGCTCTTTTAACCAGTCACAAGTAGATTTATTTGGATTCCTTTTGTGTATCTTTTCCTCCAAATTTTCTGGGTTCATGGTATTTACGCGAAAAAACGTCTTTGGTAGCGTTTTTCTCTTTTGACGGATACCAGTTCAACACAATACCCTTTCGGATTTTTTTAGTTTAATGTGTGTGAACCTTGACAAAATTTTATCTGTAACCAGTTTTGCTTATTATAAACGCTCCACTCTCAACATATTTAAACTACCTACATTATTAAATTTAACGTTTGTTGTGAAAGGTTTTTTATTATTAAAGTCATATTAAATATAATTAAAATTAAAATTTATTACTATTTATTACTAAATTTACTTTTTTGCACACACTAGCTAAATGTTCAACTTTGTTGAAATTGTTGTTTTGTGCTTACAGCCTTGGTTGCCAGTGTGCAGTTTCCCGCAACATTTACATTTCCACTTGCCTGTTGATTTACTGTCTTCACCTAATTCACATTTCTTTTGTCTATCATTCTCTGATTCTTGTTAATTTTTTTACCTAAACCGGTATGCAGAAACGTTGATTTATTTATATCAACTGATTTACCTATATACACGGTTTTCAGTTTGAAACAATTTGGCAACATAGCAAATTTTAAATGACAGTAAAGAATCTTTACTGTTATTTAAAATTTGTAGGTTATCTTACGTATACTTAAATATGTGTTAACACATATAATAAATTTATTCATTATAAGAGTAAAACATTTTTAAAATGCATTATTAAATATACACATAAATCGTCACCTGAGTATTGATTTGTTCTATGTCCAATATGTTATAATCGAGATAAACGGGTTTGAAACTTTTACATTAAATATCTTATTTGTTTTTTAATGAAAACTTAATTAAACATTAATAACAATACTCTTGTTTGGCCTTTAATTAGTTCTATTGAGCAACTCTTATCTCAAATTTGGATTTATGCCTCAATATTGGAAAAAACGTTTTGGAGATAAAACAAAAAGTGCTAGTTTTGGATTTTAGAAACAAAATGTTGGACATATAATGCCGGTTTTCCACTAAACGAACAGTTGAGTTTGGGTTTTGTTTGTGTTTTTAAAAACTTGCAAATCAAAAACAAAACTGAAACAAACCCGAAACTCTTGTTTCCATCAAGCAAACTAAGTTTTGTTCGAGTTTTGTTTTTGTTTTCGGTCCTTTTCCACTAGTTGTCGTGATTATGTCAGAACACACTTTTTCAATATCAACCAACATGTTTAAACGTCATATAAAAACGGATGCATAAAAATTTGAACATTTCTTATCGGACGATTTTATTGAAAAACGTACAAACCTATAACGGACAAACGGATACATGAAAATTAAGCTTTAAAATTAATATTAAAGGCTCAAATTTTCACCAATTTTTTTTTGCCATTCTGAATGACATTCTCGATATATTTAAAAAAAAAAAATAGTCAATTTTTTTGGCCCAGTCTAATATATAGGTATATACCTATATGTGTAACTTATATTTCCAAAAACTATAGTTTATAAAACTTTGTTTTTTAAAAATTTTATTTTTATTTACTTTATAACAACTCGAAACAAAGGATGACATAAAAGTGTTTGTAAAACATGTAGTACATATGTTATAAGTTCGGTTTGCTGACCAAGCTCCTGGGTGCTTGGTTGGCGTTTTTCTGGGAACTGCTATATAATACCTCCCTCAGTAGTTCCGAGACTCCGGTGAAGGATTAAATTTCGATTTCGTTGACATCGAACGGGGTTGATTGTGAAGAGGCAATGTTTGTTTCGACATTATTATGTCTCCTCGTTGGTTGGATATATTTCTTATAGGCAAAGAAAGTCCCAAATAGAATAATTATGACGTACAAAATTATTGTTCCGGAAAGGTGCCAAGTGTTGTTTATTCCTAGGGGTTCCAAATATTGTGAGTTGCTGGATAAATCGGTTGTACCAAGATTTTTTAGTTTTAATGGTGGAAGTTCCAAATTTTTTAATTTTGTGGGTAATATGGTGGTTTCTAATATTATTGGCTGTCCTGTTGTACTATCATTGAAAAATAGTAATTGGTCTTCTATGAATATTTCACAGTTGTCTTCATTTTTGAACAAGAATATTCCATTTATTTGTTTAAATTCTTGGGATTGTTGGCAATTAGTTTTAAACGAAATTTTGTTAGGAAATGCCGAACAGAATTGGAGGTACTGTTCTGCCAAATGAAAGCGAACGCATCAGGGCAAGCCTGATCAGTGAAATGAGGCGAGCTATGGAGGATTCCACTAAGGGATCCTCCCGCTTGGAACTCAAATTCATCAAGTCGGGCCTTGTCGACCCGGGCTGGTACTTGGTATCGGCTAGGGACGACACCTCGATGCGTTGGCTGCTGGAGAGCTGGTCTTC